TGCAGTATTTTGAGATCCAATTCGGACCTGGATCTCTTCAATTTGTTCCATTTCAGGTCCATTCTCAAAAAAAATCGATAGTGTCATTTTGTTCTAAGCACATGTTGTGCAGCACAGCAGTTGCCACAATAACCTCACACATAGTTTCAAGTTTTAGCCCCCATATCAAGATTTGGTTTTCTTTTGAGATTGGCTGGTTCCTTTCATTTATCGGTTCTGTAACATTTTGTAATACAGTTTCAAGTCGCCTAAATGTATTTTTATTTATTCTAAATAAATCATGAATATGCCAGTTTCTCATGAGATCGGCGGAGAGCCATAAAATTCTGATTTTTCTACTAAAGGTAGGGCTTTCCAAGATTTTTTTAAAAGTATTTGAAAAAACGTCCTAAATTAGCTGGATATACCGAGTTCCGTTCGCTTGTAAGAACGAGACACGAAAATTGATATTTTGCTTGGAAGACAAAGGATTAACAGCACATTACCGGAAAACATTTTAAATAAACTGGCGAATTATTTATGAATGGGATGGCGTTGAAAATACTGAGGCTACATTGTTACAACATTCGTGTATGGAACAACTACAATCCCCAATTTCATAAATGTTCAGCAATATACGAATTGAGTTTTGAATACTCTTGATCGGTGCTCATCATCCGTATAAAATAAAGTTGTTATGTCATCTTATTGAGGAAAAAAGAGGCCTTACAATTAAAACTATTTTGGGAAAATCCATTTTTTTCTGTATCTCTACTGAAGTACTTTGAACTTCGAAACTTTCTTACCGGCGTTTTGTTAGTTATACGCCAATTTGCCCCCATTTAAGCGACGTCGTATCCCTTACCGTTTGCGATATCCCAATGGTGAGGGGCGAATTTGAACCACCCGGTATATCTAGAATCAACAATATTAATCGTATGCTTTAAGAAGATGGATCCACACACCACAGATGCATAACTCAACGTCTCAATTACTGCATAACACGTTTCTTGGTCGTGTGTTCTTTCGTTTCGGTGAGCAGAATTGTCTCTTAGACCCATCAGTCAGCTTTCTTCTGCCTGAATTGAATAATACTGACACGGGTAACAAGACGGTACCGCATACCATGCAGCTCGTGAAATAATTCAATTAGTGAATTACACTGGTCAACAAAATTTTTACTTTGTCGTGCCACACGGACTTTTTTGATATTTTTTAGTTTAATTGGTGATTCTAAGAAAAAATAAACAGTTGAAAAAAATTTGCTAGACAAGGATTTTATTCTATTGAGTAATTTAAAATATTAAGAAAAAACACAGATCTCGTAAATCAAAAGTTATTTTTTTTATAAATGACTTAATAATCTAAGATTTTCTTGAATATTTAGCTTCTGGTTGGTCCCTTTTAATTGTCCAGCAGTAATCTGCTAACATATTTGGGCTCCATTTGCCCTGGTACCGCTTTTCCATATTAGAAATGTCCTGATGGAACCTCTCACCGTGCTCGTCGCTGACAGCCCCTAAATAATCAGGAAAAAATCCAGGTGCGAGTCTAAAAAATGGATCTTAAGTGACATGTTGCAACTCAATGCTTGAAATGACAATAATAGCTCACTAACCAACTCTCTGTAGCTGTCACTCTTGTGGTTACCCAAAAAATTTGCAACAACATTTTTAAAAGCCTTCCATGCAGATGTTGCTAAATCGCTTAATTTTTCTTCAAATCTTGAATCTTTTATTAACTCCCTAATTTGAGGGCCAACAAAAATACCCTCTTTTATCTTTGCATCACTTATTTTAGGGAATTTTTCTTTTAGATACAAAAATCCACTCCCATTGCGATCCATTGCCTTCACAAATTTTTTTATTAATCCTAATTTGATATGCAATGGTGGTAGAAGCACATTATTTGGCTGTACAAGGGGTAAATACTTTACGTTTTTTTCCTAGGAACTAACGATGCACGCGTAGGCCATGTTTTTTTTATATAGTGATTAGTTCTGTCTCGGCTATCCCATTCACATAAAAAGCAGCAAAACTTTGTATAACCCAGCTGAAGTCCAAGTAATAGTGCAACAACTTTAAGATCACCGCAGATTTTGAAGGAATATGTACTGTAATTTATTTTTTCAAGTAAAAGTTTCATATTTTCATAGGTTTCTTTCATATTTGCAGCATGGGCCAGAGGTACAGACGGAAGCTTATTTCCATTATGCAATAACACTGCTTTTAGACTTGCTTTCGAAGAATCAATGAATAAACGCTACTGAGAGAGATCTATGTCCAACATTTTCATAATCTCATTTATGTTATTGCAAAACACCAAATCTCCATCCTGAGAAAAATACGTTCTGAAGTGTTGATCACGGTTTCGAAAATAGCTAACTTTTGTATTATGATGTAGCAAATTCCATTCTTTTAGACGTGATCCTAATAGTTCTGACTGCTTTTTTGACAAACTTAAATCCCGAACCAAATCATTTAGGTCTCCTTTAGTTATCAAATGTGGCTCGTTTACAATTCCTTTTAACTCAAAGTCATCGTCCTCGTCAACACATTCACCTGAAGTGGACGGTTGTGAATTGTTCTCAGCAGACGTAGTTGCAACTGGTATTAGTTCTGGCAATTTTTTAAAATGAGAGACTGGTCTTATAGCCGAAGATAAGTTAGGGTAAATAACTGTGGTTTTTTTCTTGTAATTTATACCTTTTATGTCTGTGAGACAAAAATAGCAATCTGAAACGTGATCTCGCTGTTCAGTCCATATCATGGGTACAGCAAACGGCATAGGTCGTGCACCTTTCTTCCAGTCAGTTAAATTTTTCTCACACGTTATGCAACAGACATGAGGGGCCCAGGATTTGTCTTGATGGGCGACAGAAAAACCAAAACATTGGTGATAACACTCCAACACAAGATTCGTAAAATTTCGTCGTTGTTTTTTGAATGTTGGTTCTCCGCAGACATAACAAAAAGAGTTAGGATCATTATTACACTTCCTCGACATATTCACAGGGTTAATAAATCACAAAAAAGTGTTCAAATTCAACAACAAATATTTTTATAAGGATTTACTTGTAAGCGTTTCTGTTAATTTACTGCCGTAGTACTAGTTATGAGTATTACCGTATCACAACAAATATGAGGCTAATAGACATATGACAGCTGTCATCTAATAATGAGGGTAGACTGATAAAACAAAATCAGCTGTCAAAGTTCGTGTGGCAAAACCAGTGTTGACCAGTGTTATTGGCAACCACTTTATTGGCCCATTCTTCTAGCCGGGACGACTTGACGGACAGACTTACCTCAATTTTCTTCAACAACAATTGTCTTTGCTGCTTGATGATGTTCCGTTAATAATAAGAAACAATATGTGGTACATGCATGATGGTGCACCACCGCATTTCAGTGTAGCGGTTCGTAATTATTTACAAACTGTTTATCCAAATCGTTGGATTGGCCGCGGTGGGCCCCAAGAATAGCCACCAAGGTCGCCACACCTCAACAGTTTAGATTTCTTTTTGTGGGGCTATCTTCAGGCACTAATGTACACAAGTCCCATTAACACTGTAGAGGAATTAAGAGAAAGAATAGTTGCACCTTGTGACAGGATAAAAAACACTCCAGGGATATTTCAACGAGTGCGCAATTCCATGAGAAGGAGGGCGGAAGCATGCATAGTCAGTGAAGGTTGCCATTTTCAACAATTTTTGTAATAATTTCGTCGGTTTTAATGGTATGTTTATGTTGTCAGTTGTTGTTGTTCATTACCCCTAATGTGTTTAATTTTTGCAATTAAATTAATAATAGTTAGACAATAGAACGGTTTTTATTTTTTTACTCAAAAATGGCGCATGGAAGGAAAACAATTCAAGAGAGATAATTTGTTTTAAATTGAACGGGGAATTTTCTTAAAAAATATCGAAGTCAATACCCGTACGCACGCCACTGTTAAAGCTAAAAATTATTTTTGCATTAAAAAATATGCAACTTTATTAACTTTCACTACGCATTAAATGTCAGTGAAATATCTGAAGCTGATCTGAAAATATTAATTAATTACCATTTTTTTCCTAAAACTTCAACACCCCGAGTTTTTGTAAGGAAACATTTTTGGACCATAGATTGTAAAGAAAACTAACATTAATTTTTCATGTAGATTCACACCCTTAAATATGCGCATATCATTAAGGAACTCCCTGTATATTATAAATACAGCAGAGGACCTAAAAAGGACCCCTTTAAGCTCACTATTTGAAGTTACGTCATTGCAAGCCTTCGCTTGCTTGTAAACGAAGCTAAAGCCTATATGTACCATAGTTATTGTAAATAAGAAAACAATTAAAATTATATTAACAATGATAACTTTAAATAGTTCTGATCTCAAATTTAGTATTTAGCTTTACATAGATAAGAATATCATTATCGTTATCGTACATGTGAACAAAAAAATGCTAAATTTAAGATATTAAAGTGAAGCTAATAATAGTAAGAAACATTTATGCATTCAACTTGACATGCATAATTGCCTGTTTATGTCTGAAAGGATTGTTTTTTTATGATTAACGTTTGATTGTTGCAGTTCTATCACAATTTCAAGTATACGGGTTGTGTTCACCAGAATGTTTTTAAGAATCTAAATCTCATCCTCATAACCTATACTACAAATGTTGAAAAATAAGATGTGTTTATAGACAAATCTCTACTAATATTATAAATGTGCATGTATGTTCCGTTTTCAAGCCAAAACGGATGAACCAATTTTGAATATCACCTTTCAAGTTTATAGAGATTTATCTCGATCACTATTCGACCTATGATCAAGATATTTGGTAAGGATGTTGTTTGTGGACAGGATATGCTAGTTAAGAACCGGTTTCGCAACAGAGCCGGATTAAGGGAGCTAGCTTCTAAGTGGATCCATTAATAAGAAACCAAATGTGATATGTGAGTAACAATTTACATACGTACTAAGTCGCGGGTAATAGCTAGTGATTTATGTATAAACAACAAACTCACCGTCCTCCTCATCTGAATCACTGTCTGTACTGTCAGTATCTGAAGTGGACGATGAACCGGTATCCATGTCTTGATCCTTACTATGTTCCTTCATATTACGCACTACACTAGAAATATTAGTCCTAAAGTCCCGTGTTAGCTGTAACCGCACGTACTGAAACAAAAATAAAAAAGTTCAAGAAGGATTGAGAATGAAATCCGTAAAGATTGAATGGTAAAAATATACTACATCAGCGACATATTCAAGCAGGTCATCTCAATTATGGTACAAGAGAGAGAGATAGAGGTGCAAACGCTCTAGAGGATTGGTGTTGAGCCGAATCCAGAAAATGTCCAGCATGATTCCAAACAGACATCTCTGGAGCAGGAAAGACTACTACGGACAAAAGCCAAAGCTCTGCCGCACGGGTATTTTGTAAAAAACATATTAAACGTCAAAAAAAAAACGATAAAATGTCATCTTACAGATTAGGTGGTTTTTAGCGGACAAACAGTCGTTCCACCGTTTTCTCACTGGGATCGTTGTGCGCGTCCATCTATGGAGGAATAGCTCAACTACACGCAGTTTTGGTTGCATATGTCTTGTGAAGAAGAGTAATCTGTAGTTTTCATCTCTGAGAAGAAAGTTGGTTGAATGGCAAGATCGCATCTCGATGATTATGTGTATTGATCTGCATGTGTATTAAATCAGTGATATTTGCTGTGTGAGAAAATCATTACTGAATATGCTGCCAATGAAGTATATCTATTAGCTGTGCTTTCTGAAGAGAGGTTATGTTCAGTTATAAATTACGAAAAACTTTGAAGAGAATTACGGGAAATCACCACAGCACCCGCGTTGTACGTATTTACTGTTAGCATGGATATGGCTTATAATTCGACAGGATACAGTGAATATTTCTTATCTCTCTCATTTTTGAAATTCAGCAAATTTGCATATATAATTTCCAAAATGGATAAGAAAAAGTGGATGCGCAACTAATTTCTAGCTTTGAAGTGTATTTGAGACAAGAATCCAATGGAATTATCATCAACACATACAACTTACAGCTTAGACCTGCCATCTCTGAAGCAGATTTTACATCACATCAGAGCCAAATATTGATAACTGAAGCCTCATGACGTTTAGGCAACACGTACAAGTAAGTGCTATCTTAACATCTAGTAGAAAAACCTACATAATATCACAAAAAACAAATACAATGTCACTTTTCAAGACACGTAATACCCGTTCTTCCTCAAGTTGGAGTGCGACACTGCTCGTCGGCAGATAAGCCGATGTCGAGTCCAGAAAAATTAGCCGCAGGGTAATGCCGCAGCGCAATGGAAGTCGCTCTTTCTGGATGCTGGCCAAGCAGATTGAAAGGAGCTTCTCAAAGAGTAACCTACGGCCGCTTACGAGCCAGAATGGAACTATTATAACCGACTCAAAAGCTAAGGCAGAAGTGCTTGCCAAGATCTTAGCTGCCAACTCCACCATTGGGTCCCTACACCATGCGGGAAGTAACAGTCAGACTTAAGACTGTAAGACGGGTGCTCTTGTCGCTGGACATCAAAACAGTTTCCGAACTAGATTTCTGCCGTTGTATAGAAGAGGTGTGTAGTGGAGCTTGCTCCAGTCCTTTCACGTCTTCTTCAGATATCTTACGAATCAGTACTTTCCCAGAAAACTAGAAATTTGCCCATGTCTAGGACGATCTAGTATCTAAGACCGACCCTTACAACTACAGACCTATATCTCTACTTTCTGTTATATGAAAGGGTGAAAAGGGAGGTGCATAAATCAGGAGCTTCTCAACAGCATGGCATATAGTAGGTTTCTGGCATCAGCGATCCCATCTCACGTGAGGCAACTGTGAAGTAAGCCCACCCAGTCGTATGATGGCGCATGTCGTTGCTCTTGATATAACGAAAGCTTTCGATCAGCTGTGACCTGATGCCCTGTTATGCAAACTGCCATCCTATGGATTCTCAAAGAAGTTTTGTAGGCTGACTTTCTCTCTGGCCACAAATATCCATTGTAAATGACAGGTTAACCCCACAAGGTCAACACGGATGTTCCACTGGGATGGACATTGGCTCCGATGTTGTTTCTATTACATATCAACGACCTTCTTTCCTGTACGATCAACCCGATCCACAGCTTTTCTTATGACAGTGCTCTACATGCAGGAATTCAGACTACCAAGCCGATTTCTGCCCGTGAGCTAGAAAGAAGACTAACAGCGACTTTCTCTAAGACAAGATATCTGGAAGTTATCACTACTCGGGAACGCAATAAGCACGCGCTCAATGGTTCTCGGCCGCGGCTGGTGGCAGCCCCTTCATGTTGCCAATCTCACTTGGTACAAATATCAAGTATTTTTCCCGCATGAAACAGTGTAAAATTGTTTATGGACTCAAAAGTCTCCATAGACACAATCAGAATACCTCTTCTTTTACAAATTTTAGATAAAAATATCGAGGCAAATTGTATTTTTAAAATAAAGCCAACGCATTTGCGTCAAAAATAGAATATTTTAAAATTATCACGTGTTATTAGAAACAGGAAGATATGGTCGAACCAAATCTCACGACAGACAGACAGAAGGCGAGGGGTCAGAAAATAGCTAAAAACACGTCACATAATTAATGGACGCCCCTTAAGGCATTTTATTGTTGAGACGCGCCCTGCCGGAAGCTGCCCTCCTATAAGAGCACAGATGTACAAAATCGCTCGGATAAGACTGGAGGCAAGAGAATTTTTTTGAGGATAAATGGTCTACAATGACCAATAATTCTTAAGAAAGCTCAACAATTCGTCTGCAGCATGCTAGGCACATTTATAGATAATCCACCACCGCCACTGGTCATCATCCCCTTGCATAGAGTGAGGGATTTTCGGTCAGATTTAGGACCCTATTGTCAGTCGTTCCTACAATTATTGTAGGATGCCTTTATGGCCTCCTTGATTTTCATAGTTTTCTACTGTTCCGTGTCAGCGCTCTATTTTGAGGTTATAACACAAATATCTACGAGCCCCTTCCCACTTCAGTTGGCCCAACTATTGAAATCTTAGTTTTTTTCTTATCAAACACAAATAATAAAAATGTTGCAGGCTGTTATAAGTTTAAAATATTAACAATGAATATTTTGATAATATATAGTAGAAAACACTAACTTTATCACTCGCTAATCAAATTTGCAGCATAAAAATAACACATGTTGCAATTACAGCATATCAACCTATTTTCATTTCAATGCAAAATAAGTCTATAACGCATAGGTGGCTGTGAAAAATAAAGGCCATGCCAATTGTTTTTATTAATCACAGCTGTCAGAATACGTTTGAAATAGTTTTGGGTAGTTAAGGTTTACAAAATGGATAGAGGAAAGGTTATTAGTGAGAAAATTTGGTTACTGATAATAAAAATTTTTAATACTGGGAAATCAAACTCAGAAATCTTATCGCGGTACAGTGTGAGAAATATTGTTAGAAGATATAACGTAACTGGTTCAGTTAATATTAAGCCACGATATGTGAAAAAAGTAATATCACAAATACCGACCGAACAGCATTAAGAAGAATAATCATGAAAAACAGGCGTGTCAATTATTTAAAATTAAGTGCTCTGTGGAGTGATGCTGTTGCAAGGAGCATTTCGAGGTCCACAACTCATAGAGAGGCCCACAAACTGGGATTTAGCACTGTAAGGTAAGTTTTCTTATAAAAAAAGTGAAGTAAAAACCCTAAAGTTGCACAACTTATTTATAGGCGAAAGAAAAGCCACTATTAACTCCACTGCAAAAGAAAAATCAGCTTGATGGGCTAAAGAACATAGACAAAGGACACCTCAACAATGGTGTGCAATACAATGGAGTGATGAGGCCCGATTCGAAGTTTGTGTTGGTGCACTAGAGTAATTCGCAAAAAAATGAAGCATTCCATGTTGACTGTCTGAAGAGAAAAGTGAAATTTCCAGCATCCATTATGGTCTGGGGCAGTATGTCATCAAAAGGAGTAGGAAAACTTCATTTTATTGATGGAAATGTGGATACAAACAAATATTTGGCAATTTTAGAAGAATCGCTTTTACCACTGATGGAAGAATGTTTGACATCCGGCCAAGATTTTTTGTTTCAGCAAGATGGTGCAGCGTGCCATATCTCAAAAAAGGCTATAAAATGGATGGAAGAAAATAATGTACCACTTTTGAAATGGGTTTCTAGCAGTCCAGATCTGTCACCTATTGAAACTTTGTGGCACGAGATGAAAAAGGTTCTACGACAACATCCTGCTCGTACAATCACCGAACTGAGACAAAAGCTTCAAGAAATATGGGATTGTTTTACACCAAATGTTTGCCAAAACTTGGTTAACACTATGCCCCAAAGAATTTCAGCCGTAATAAAAAATAAAGGTGATTTTACCCAATGGTAATCTTTCAATTGTTGCTTTGTTAACTTCGCGCATTTATTCGCACATTGTTTTGTTTGTTCAGATGTTTTATTAGTTATAGGTCTAAGGCCCGTATCGTCAGTCGTCCCTACAATTGTCGGGCGCCTTTATGGCCTCCTTGATTGTCATAGTTTTCTACTTCTCCGTGTCAGAACTCTATTTTGAGGTTATGTCACAAACATCTATTTGCATCAAATTGTGCTTGCTTTTGAGTTATATAATGTTTTATCAGCCTGAAATTTCCTACAATTTAAAAAGAAAACATATCTTCAGAATAGGAGAGCGCTGACGCTGACTCGGGACAAGTGTAATATAGAAATTTTTGAAGGAGAGAAAGGAGTATGACAATCAAGGAGGCCATAAACGCGCCCTACAATTGTAGGGACGACTGACGATACGGGCGTAAGTGATTTCAAATATGTATTTTTTATGACTAGAGTGTATCTAAAATGTTTTTGAGAAAATAAATTGTTTTAGAAGTAAATAGTTTCGTCTTGTTTAGTTTATAAAGGCATATTTTGGTACAAATCTTGAAGTGGGCCAACTGAAGTGGGAAGGGGCTCGTATTTCCATCAAAATGTTCATGTTTTCGATTTATATCATCTGTTTTACCATCCTGAAAGTTCCTACAATTTGAAAAGAAAACATGACTCCACAATAGGAGAGCGCTGACGCTGACACGGAACGGTAGATATCTAGAAATACCCCACCCCTTGTGAAGGAGAGAAAAGACTATAACAATCATGGAGACTATAAACGCGTCCTGCAATTGTAGAATGCCACTCCTCTTTCCTTCTTAAAACATGCACCATACTTAAAAAAGGTGTCAAATTCCAATCAGCTTCACGTTTTGTATACACAGGTATGAGTTCATTGCCTTGATATGCGACCGATATACGACGCTATACATACATCAAGTTCATGATACATCCTTACCGCATAAAGGATAGTCATTTAATTTCATGTAGATACCTACCCTCCCTTTTCTTCAAGTTTTCCAACTGTACCGGTACATATGCAGATGTGCACGATACCTACTTATCTTGCAAAGTCAAGGAGAACTACATTTGTGTTTTTTAAATAATCTTAAAACATGACTGCTTAATGTACTACATGATAAACAAAAATGTACCTAGCAGAAAAGTGTGTGAACACACGTATATTAATGCAATATTAACGGAATACTTTGATTTCAACATCACTACTGCTGTGTTTGATTAAACCTTAAATTAGTGTGTATGTTGATAAACTCAACTACAATGAAAAAATATTAGATAAGCATCATTGGTATTAATGGTATTGCATAAACGCAGCCTATGCTGTTGACCCCAAAATCCTTATGCATTTTATCCATTTTTCTAAATTGTCTTCAAAGTACAAACCATAATGAATCGAGCCTACTGAAGATGATTTGCATTTAATTTGAATTTTAAATTAAGAAAAGGGAGAACGGTGGTGTGCTACATAACCTAACAAAAATCTTGCTTTTTTGACGTTTTTTGTCACATTTTGGGGTTAATGACACGCCTACAACTTGTTGTCATTTAATTTCAGAATAATCCTATAGTACTTCAAAGTAGAAGGGGTTTTCGGAACAAATAAAACAAAAATGCAGATTAACAACGTTTTTTAATGTTCAATGCTCATAATGAGGACGTAAGTTTACCCGCATTGAGGATAACAAGTGTATCTATTCTCGAAGGGGTGTTATTGCGGGTTTTTAGGGCTAACTCGAAAAGTATGCGTCAGACAGTTTGAAGCTGAATAAAGAACAAAAGCTGGTACTTACTTTATTAACGGGACCACTATTAATAAGCACTGTATATTTTGGAAACACGGAAATATCGTTGATAAATAGGCATCTAACGCGGCACAGCGCTCTCGGCAGCGCCATTTTGACAGACTAACCGGGCTCTCTGACGTCCAAATCAACTCTGCCTTGCTTATTTTTACTCGGGGTCTCGGTGCGGCGGTCCTCGACTCTCAACCCCTACTGCGCACATTGATTCGCTGTTTTTCCCCAAAAATCGTGCCAAAATAAGATGCCGGCTGACACGGTCCAGTTTCCATTATTTTATTTCAATGTGAGTGAATAGATGCGAAGGAAAGTTGAATTTTGGAGAATGGATGCAACATGAAACTTGATCTGATGATTACTGGTTGCCTATATATAAATGTAAAATAATTTTTCTGGGATTAGTTATATTATGTGAAAATGATAAATATTTAGTTTTAACTGATAAAGATGTTTTGAAGATAACTGTGTTAATAGTTGATCTAGGTATATCACTTTTGTTATGGTAACAGAGATACCGGCTTATCTATACACCATATTCTGCATTTCACATTATTCATCTCTATACTTGTGTACGACACTACTCGTCAATAGCAACCGCATTTTTTATCGGTTAAAGAGTGAAATACGATTTTATATTAGCTAGTTCCCTAAGAAATAGCACTTCTTTCACATTTCCCCTATTTCAGTTTCAAATAAATTTTGAATTATCTTTCCCGCTTTTACTGGTTGATGTTGACATCTAACGGTCAGTAGTGGAACTAGATGTGGCGCTGTTGCCAGACTTGTGTACTTATACGGAAAGCTGGAGATTCCGAAAAGGTTTCCTATATAGGTAGGGAAATTTCCAGTCAGACGGTACCACCCAGAGTGAACAATGACGTTCATCAGTGCGGGGTCAGAATATATGTGTATGTGCACAGGTGCACATGCAAATTGGCGGATCCTCCGGGGCGAGGCTCATGGGGTTATGAACCGCCTGGGCGAATCGAGTTCGACCAAAATAAACTGCCCACTTCTCCCTCTACTCTTCAATGTTCACCCCTCGCTCTTGGATTATCATATTCGGTCTCAGAAGTGTTGCTCAAGCATGTAGCCCTTCCCTCATTCTCCGTTTTTGAACATGAATCCTGCGACCATCAAGGCGTATTCTAGACTATACAGGGTGACTTCGAAGTTGAGTCATTTATTTTAACAGTGAGTAGATCTGATCAAAAGAAATGTTTTTTCCTTTACCATTTTTCTGGTAAAATTAAAGTAACAAACTCATAGCCCTTTGGAAATTTGAGTACCGCCCTGTCTCAATAATAATATCATGTGCTCGTGTTTGGCAACAACGGATATAATCCGCCTTATCGGTTCATCGCATCGGAAACAAAAAGGCGAAAGAATTTGGAACGATGTTTTTACAATTATTTTATTCAGTTGTAGGTATACATACAGTCAGTGTCAGTCGGTAACGCGTAAGTGAATAGTGGTGTCTGTTGCGTGGCTCAAACGAAATAAAAAATGGCACATGTTTATGCGGATCGGTTTCCCAATCGAGTGCAACCAACCCCTCGTGCCTTTGTTAATGTAGTACAACGGGCTCGTGAATCAGGTGACTTAAGACCTCACAGCGGACGGCATGCCGGTGCTACAAGACCTCACGATCAAATACAGGTCCGCACTGAAATACTTGTCGGGAGAATACTTTATAAAACAAGGTAAACAAATTTTTTTAATTTTTTTTTATTTTTACACACATATTTTGGTTTATCTTCCTTCTACAATCATTATCTGGAAATTAATGACTCAACTTCAAAGTCACCCTGTATAGACCAGTTTGGTATACAACCGGTCGTTCAGACCGAAATTAGAGGAAGTAAAATTGGCTAACTGGTTTCACCAGTGGCTCAACCGGTGAATTAAAGACTACGCCCCCTCCTATGGACAGCTTCTTATGTTAAGTCCACCACCCTTGTGCACATGTCGTAGAAGACATTATGCGCCAAATTTTCTCTCACTATCCTCGGGTACCACAATCCACTACTGAAGAGAATAGCATAAAACATCGTACGCTACTTCTAGAGCGGTGTGCATCTGTATAGTCAATGTTGGTGGTAAGCTCAGCGTGGATATGAGCATAATTGTAGCAACCAATATACATACTTTCATATTGTTTTTGTATTCATTGTCTCTCCCGTGTTTTAGATTAATTCATAAAATTGATCTGGCACCGTCGCAATTTTACTTATGACAACTGTCATATCAAAATGTCAGTGTCAGCTTGACATTTTGCTCTCCAAACGTCAGTCATCTAAAAGAAGAAACGGTCGAATTCAAAATTTATAAATACTTAACATTCTTGATAACGAATACGCTGGTGGCAATAATTACAGGTGAAGACATAATATTAACTTTTTCGTTACAATGGTACTTAGCCTAATTGTTTACAGATGGAACCGATGACTTTAGGTAGTGCCCCGTCGAGCCCGGCATCCCCTGGAATAAATCCGAACTTTTTGCCCAATTTTCTGATGGGTGGAGACAGCCAACCATCTACCCCCCAACCCAGTACCTCACCAGGTCGAAACCGTACCTCGGGCAACTTCAACAGAACGGGAATGAACTCTGAACCTAGAAGTCTACGACAGAAACTCTTCAACCAAACTGTCAGTGAGAGTCCTGGACCTTCATTGTCACCTTTTAGCAGCGTTCCAGAGAAAGTGGGACCTCCTAAGGTTGGCCTATTTGACACGCTTGAACACAGAAAGAAGACTAGTTCAATGCCAGGCACAGGTGTAACTAGCCCTATACCTAGTAGTACAGTTGCTCATTTTAGTGATTTTACAGGCTTCAATGATAGTGTATCTAGAGTTGATGATAATGTTACATTTAGTAGAAATGGAAATTTAATGGATTCATTTAACAAGTCAAATGTAGTTACAGTTAGGGATAAGATTGATACAAATTGGGTGACTGTCTTTGGATTTCCTCCAAGTACGCTACCATTAGTTCTGGCACAACTAGCTAATTGTGGACCTGTAGTTGATAAAAAAATTCCACCTGCAGGTAATTGGATACATGTTAAATTCAATAACACAAGCGAAGTAGCTAGAGCATTATCACTTAATGGTAAAATGCTAAATGAGCATACTATGATAGGTGTCAAGCTGCATTATGTTAATAAACAGTGTAATAAAGAGAATGATCAGACAGTTTTTACATCACCAATCAGAGCTCGCTCATTAAGACATTCTTTTGTTTCACCTCAATCTACAAATAGTGTTGTACCTCCACAAACTGTACCTCAAAAATCAACTGGACTTGTGACAAAGGCTATGGAATATGTTTTTGGTTGGTAGGATTATTATATATTTTTTAAGTCTTTGTATGGTTATAATTTTTGTATTTACTTGTGCTTAAGTATATTTTATTATGAACCTGTTGTTTTATTTTAAATATTATTCGTGACCTTTTGTAATGTGCATGCCTGATATAAACAGATTGAGGAGTGAAGATTTTATCTGAGTTTCTTTTGTCCAAATTTGTTTACTTTACCAAAACAGTATTGGTACGACAAGCTACCTTGATGAACTAAAAGCGTCCCAGCACTCATCTCGTTTCGATGGATGGCCCTAGTTCTGCCAAAGAGCCGTTCACTTCAGCTGGTCGGGGAGCAGGTCACCGAGAACAGCTGCTGGGAAAAAGCTAGCGTATTTGTTTAGGGCTAAGAAGTACTTTTCTCCGCATGACCTTCTCACTCTATACAAGTCCTAGCCTCAAGTATTGGTCACATGTATGGGGTGCTGCCACCTGACTACATTATTTATGCTCGATACTGTCCAGAGGAGGGCTGTCCGACGACTCTTCTCTAACAGACAGTCTTGGAAGACTTTCGCACTGGCGGGCCGTCGGCTATCTAGCTCTCTTCTACCTCTACACCAACGGGCTTTGCTCCTCAGAGCTCTCTTCCATGATGCCGCCGCGCGATGTGCCTGCCAGACAGACCCGCCTGACTTTGGCCTCCCATCCTAACCGTGTCGAACTTCATACAGAACTGACCGATATACGACCGCTCCCTTGTTCCGAGGGTGTCGAGATTGTGGAACATCTACAAGAGGAAGCTTTTCCAGTTCTACTAACCTTGGGCTAGTAGAACTAAAAATCGGATTAAAATTTCTTTAGGATCCTCATAGCAGCCATGGTGTCCCGGCATTTAGGCTTCTTAGATGAAAGAAATTGAATCTTTGACTAAAAACAAAGAGTTGCTATGACCGTTTGGGTGGTCTTTAAACAGCGTAAGTGATTTTTTGTGGAAGAAAACATAGTAAAATATTGGGGGAAGTTATTGAGCAACACAAGTAACAAAAAATAATTCAAAATGGCGACACTGCAGCCCCGAGGCACATAGAAATTTGAGGTGATCTGTGACAAGCACTGTAACTGCTGCAAATTTGAATCTAGGAGAAAAAACGTGTACTACTTGTTTAGTCTTAGAAATATCGATTTTTATGTGGTTAGCGAGTGTTTGAATTAATTTATTGACGAAAAAAGGTGATAACTTATTCTCATTATGTTATTTTACGGATAGTGCAAAACATTCGAATGAAAATTGTTGGAGTTATTCCAAAAATTGGCGTCCCAGAATCGATTACATTGATGATAGATCAGCCAACATTTGATAGAAATAGCATTCAAGATCTGATTGTCATGCCCCATGGTATGTCTCTAACGAAACTCTACATAGAGACCTCGCTGTCCCTTACCTAAAGGACTACATTAAGCAACAGGCGCACCGGCGCTATAGCCTAGCGGAATCGCACAGCAACCCTCTGTTGCGTGAGTCAGTGGACCACACAGTCGAGCAAGTTCGCAAGCACAAAAGGCCGCGGCTCGCACTGTAATCAAAATTAACTCGTGAACTTAGAACAACCAAAATTGGAGCATTTTGACAAAATCTTTAAAAAAAATCGAATATTTTTAGACCATATCAAAATCTGTGAAGTGATTTTAACAATGCCTAAACGCTGCTTATCCTAAAGATTCTCTTCTTCCCTTTTGCTCTCGTTCTTCCTTCTCTCCTTTCCTTACCTTTTTTCCTTAAAATTGTCTGGTTTCTGGGTTACCAGACCTGACAGACTTACAAACTGACACTGTGACTGCTCTGACAACCAAAGAAGACTTGACGATCTGATTGTCAAGAATGCATCCTGCCTTTGATAATAAAGACAAGCCAATAAAGTAAATTACCTATATTTGTCCCTTATTAAAAAGCACCTGTAAATAATGAACCATCTGTTTTGAAATGTTGAATGTTGAAATTTCATGTAGGAAAGGTATGACGGAAAATAATACTAAATAAAAATGACAAGTTTTAATGACTCAATAAAACAATATTAAATAAATCTCTTTCTATGGAAATGACAATTCTATACATTATATAATAAACACAAATAAATACTTATGCCTATACATCTATAGAATTTCAAAATTATATATAAGATGCCAATGTGTTTCAAAATATACAAAATGAATTAATATGATGTTAGCAATTTGTAGAATTTTGGGTTTAAACTTAATTTGGTAGATTATGAATTATATTTTTCATTCCACATCTTTTTGAAATTATGCTGTGCAACAAATTTATAGTTGAGGTCTGTCTGGTTTCAATATGTATTGTTCTACAATTACATTGAAAATGTTAGAAAGAGTGCTTCCACAAGTAACGACCATCTGACCTGATATCAACAGTGAGGAAGGTTACAACCACTCTAATATATATTGTACACTTTTCTCTCATATACATGAGAACCAACCTCAAATATAAATGATTCACACAGTATGCAGTCATAATATATCAATTACTCACTTAATAAATTAGTAAAACATTCTTGGGGATAAAAAATGTTGAACATATTCCAAATTTGAACAACTTCTAATCAAATAAAGCTTTATTTAATGCATTAGTATGAAACTAATAGTCTTTTCACTGACATAAAGAAAAACCAAATGAGTGATCAATGTAACACCACACCCCAAAACTGCATCAAAACAATTAAGTTAATTCTTTAAATGTCGATTCACAACATCTTCAATCGTAGCATTAGCTAAATCAGTCATTTTGGGATATTTTATGTTCTTCTTATTCAGTTTTTCTTGAGCCCACAATATCAGTTTCAACAGGGTAGAAATCTTTGGGGATGTTGTTTCATGATGTTCCATCTTTAGTATTGCAGCATTTACCTCACTGGCAACCTAGATGATAAAAAATGTTTTTTAAGTGGTAACAACTGCACAGAGATGCATGTAGAACTCTCGAAAGTTAGGATCTTTTTTCACCCTTATCACGTCAAAAAATTTTCAGAGATTGAAACTATTATCGACATTATGAATCTACTGCAAAGTTAGTCTCTTCTTCTCTTTACAAAAGCTTCAGTTCATCATATATTCAGATCTTTAGTGATTGTAAACAACCAATAATACAATTACAAGAAGTGGCAACTTCTCAGAGATTTGAAGGCGAAGATATTGTAACACCCTGTATAGGGCACTAGGCTTCAGTTTGAGTTCTATCATGTATTGTTGCATTGTAGGTATGTTCTCAGATAGCTGTCAGTTTTGTTTATTCCTAGATCATTCATATTTCATGAAGTTTGTATAGCTTTTTTCTAGGTATCTAGGTGATCCTCACATGTTACTAGAGTATAAAAGGCATAGTGTAGTGGCAGATAAAGGTTAAGTAAGTTTTATGAGTATTTGAGCAAATAAATCGTGAAAAGCTGTGAAGTATTTTATTTCTACAGTGACTAGAAGAAACCATTAGTGATATTCATACTTTGATAAAATCAAACAGTGTGTTCAGAAGGGACCATACCTTTTGTCTATGTGAAGGGGCAAGTAAATCACCAAAAGGTGAATTCAATGGCTCCTCAAACGCTAATAAGGCTACAGTCCTTTCTAACTCAGTCAATACAGATGGATCCTCTTCACCTGCTTCACTCAAATGACTTTGAGCAAATGCAAGCGCCTCTTCAATTCTGTTGTTCCTTATCAGTTCTATCAGGTGCAGCTGCTGTAAGTGGAAATACAGATACCTATCATTATCTAAGAGCTCTGGATGTAGCTGGTTTATCAGTGCTGTAGCTTCTTGGATTCTGCCTGTCATGATAGCATCTCTGATCTTGATTCGGTCATCTAGGGAATGCAGATCCACTGAGGGCATCACCCCAGATTCTTGCTGGAACTTTTCCGCTGCTTCTTTGAATCCCTCTAACAAAGACATGGCAATAGTAATTGGTTCTCATTTTGTAGGTATTTATATTTACCTGTGACTAAGTAGTTCATTATTAATTTGTTCATGCTGCTCCGTCCCGAGTCGTTTTCCTCGAGAAGCTTCAACCACTCTTCTTTGGGTATTGCCTCTTGCTTTTCTACACACTTTTCCGCATAGCTCATTTTCTTTCTTTTATTCGTATCTTTGTTGTTTATTTGGATAAAGATAAAAAGCTACATTTGCCAGCGCAGAATGAGAAAACAACACGAAAATGCGCATGACTGTGACAGATGAGTGACAAGTGACATACATCGAAATGACACTGGAAGGAAAAATGGTGGTTAGCAGCTTAGCAGGTTGAAGTAAGGGAAACACGGTGAATACGAGATGTGCGAGGAAAACTCCATGTATGACCTGACCTGAGACATCCATGCATACCCAGCAGAGCGCGGGGCCTGAGTAAAGATAACATGGCCACGCAAAGACAACCGCTTGAAAAATGCAAATGAAGATTGGAAACTGCCGCTTTGACTTACTGAACACTTCATCGTTACCCCGGGATAGACATACGTTTTGCCAGTTGATCTAGTCACCTAGATTGCGGCGTTACCAGCTCATCCGACAATTTTGCTACCTCTGCTATTTTGTTAGAATATTACAAAAAAATAAGCTTTGAATAAAATATTGAGGGACACCAACGGAGATATATAAAATTTGAGGCGTAGCAATGTTTGCCAAAAAACTAAACAAAAGCAGTTATTTACATTTTGCGTCGCCTGGCGTCTATTCTGCGGAATGTTAATTGTCTCTGAGCACTTTTATAAATGCCGTTCTTCTAGGATAAAATACGTTTTGAATACAGGACTTCTTCCAATAATTGAAAAAAAAAGTACGATTTTCATTTTACTTTACTACAGGGTTATTACAAAAGAATCATCGGGTTTTAAAAATATATATTTCTGAAGGTATCACAGATATAACAGTAAGTGACATGTCAATGGAAGGGTAAAATATTCAAGATTTTAAGCATGTTATTACAAATGTTCGATGTGGGCTCTTTGCGTCACACGACATATGTCCAAACGATAGTCCATTTCGGCCCATACACGCTGCAATGCGTCTCGATCGATATTGTTAATAACAGTAGTAATGCGTTCCCGGAGTTGACCCAATGTTGTTGGCCGAGGTGGTATGTAAACCATATCTTTAATGTAACCCCAAAGGTAAAAATCGCATGGTGTAAGGTCGGGAGACCTGGGAGGCCACGCGAACAATATCAAATCTTGTGCAGTACCTCGGCCAATCCAACGGTGAGCAGTGCCTCGTTTAAATACCGACGCACCTCATGATGCCAGTGACGCGGAGCTCCATCTTGTTGGAATATGAAGTTGTTAGAATCTTCTGTTAGTTGCGGACATAACCACAAATGCAACATATCTAGGTAGGATGAACCGTTTACAGTGTTTTCATGAAAGAAAAAAGGCCCGTACACTTTATTTTTGAATATTGCACAGAAGATATTCAATTTTGGAGAATCCCTTTCATATTGCACAATCATATGAGGATTTTCCGTGCCTCATATCTGAATGTTATGACCGTTCACCCTTCCCCTTAAATGAAATGTCGCTTCGTCGCTGGATACCAGACAGCAAATTCGTCGTCTTCCATTGCCTCCTGCATGTTAGAAGAACAATCAAGTCGCTTTACGTGGTCGTCAGGTCGTAAGCTTCGTTTCCGCAAAATTTTCCATACGGTTGGCTGGGGAATACCAAGTTCACTTTCTGCTCTGCTAGTGGACTCTCGCGGAGAACGCGTGAAACTGTGTCTAACTGCGTCCACCATTTCGTCAGGAACTCGTGATCTTCCAGTACTATTACGTTTAGTAATGGAACCTGTCTTCTTGGATTGTCGATACCATCGTAGAATGCTCTGAGACCTGAAGAATCAATTCCATACTGCCGTCGGAATGCACGTTGCACTGTAACAACCGATAAACATCGCGCGTAGTCTAACACACAAAACGCTTTCTGCTGCATGGTCGCCATTTTGTATACTGAGCTCGTGGCGCTATCTAGGGAGATAAAGCGGCGTTCGCAAGCACGTGCTTTAAACTCGAACATATTCCTTTTCTAGTGATATGTCATTTGATATTATATTTGCAATACTCTCTGAAATATAAATTTTAAAATCCGATGATTCTTGTGTAATAACCCTGTATTTATTAGGCATTCATTTTGAAGAAGCTAAAAATGGACAGCTGAAGGATTTGAACTTGAATCCAACTTATAATTCGTCAATCCTGTGGAATTACCGGCAGCCGGAATCAGAATTTTGGACGCATCATACATCCCTACTCTTGTTGGACATTTGGTGCCCACCACGTATCCTCCTACAACTGAGGTAAGATGTTGTAGTTTCTTAAACACGGGGCTGATATTCCAGGTTTGAAAACTCCAAAGCATCATTTACGCTTGATTTTTTGCACCATATTTAGTAAACATAGTGCCAAGGGCTTAGTGTCAAAGCCCGATGTGAAATACTGTCAATTATTGAAATTCACCAATTCCTTGGACTAAAATAGCATTTTGTTGGAGGCTTTGCTAATAGTTTTGAGATTGTTCAGAAAATTTTTAGTCCAAGGAATTGGTGATAGTCTATAATTTACAGTATCGTGCTTTGACATTAAGCCCTTGGCACTATGTTTACTAAATATGATGCAAAAAACAAGCATTGATTCTCTAGCGTTTTCAAACCTGGAATCTCAGCCCCGTGTTTAGGAAACTACACAATGTCTTACCTTGGTTGGAGGATACGTCCAACAAGAGTAGGAATGTGATGCGTCCAAAATGCGTCTGCATGTAATTTCACATGATCGACGAGTTATAAGTTGGATTCAAGTTATCAAGCTGTCCATTTTTAGCTTCATCAAAATGAATGCCTAATATCTCTGCGTATAAGACGGACACTAATAAATAGTAGAGTAAAATGATAATCGTACGAAGATCATGTAATTTTAGATCAAATAGTTAATAAATATATTTATATGGTGAAACGTTTTCTTCCAATTGTTGGAAGAATTTTATTATCCTCTAAGACTGGCCATTTAAAAAATGTTCAGGGACATTAACGTTCCGCCGCATTGCTACGCCACAAATTTTATATATCTTCATTGGTATTCTTCAATATTTTATTCAAAACTTTTTTTTTATTGTATTCTATCAAAATAGCAGAGGTAGCAAAATCGTCCAATGAGCTGGCAGCGCCGCAATCCAGGTAGCAAGAATGACAAGGTTATCTGTCTATCCCGGGGTAGCCACGGTGTGTCTTGAATGTCAAAGCGGCAATTTACCAATTTTCATTTGCATTTTTTAAGTGTTGTGCGACGATTTCGGCAAAAATTTCACTACCGGATAGTATTCTAGAGTCTGGTAGAATACATTCCAACAGTTGTCTTGCGTGGCCATGTTATCTTTACTCGGACCGACCGCGTTTTTCTATATTCCGTGTATGTTTTATGCTTATGAGGAAAACTTGTGGACATGTGGACTAGCAAAAATCACCTTTCAAGAGGTATTCTAGTAATTTTATTGCTTATTCATTCGCTTATGCAGATGACGTAGAGATGGCACTAACCGTCTTTGTCTGGTGTTATCTAGCGAAGAAAAGATGCACTAGCTGCAATACTGGTTGCACAGATACAACTGAAGGAAAATGCGGTAAATGGACTTTTACATACAAATTTTATTTTTGTTTATACAAGTCTATATTAGCGACTTGGATTCGCTATAATACGCGTAGTATTGCTCATTAAACAATTTTGCCTCATCTACTCAAACATTAAAAGTGTTACACCCAGAAAAAATAATGTCTTCAACTTTTTTTGGCAACAATGACTATATTTTAGTTTTATCTTTGTTTTTGTTCACCTTTGTTAAAATGTTATTTCTTAGTTTTTGTGAAGAAAACAGTTTTTGAGAGCTGAGTAGTACAGATATTTTTAGTTATTGCCCTTTCTTTTACTAATGTGTTAAGCATAACAAGATCGAGTTGGAAAACGACCAAATTTTCACCATGTTAGCAAGTTTGACAGGGATAGAATTATTGCCTATCGAAATGTTGGTTTGTCCTATCGCGAAATTGGCCACCGTGTTTATTGTACTGCAATGACGGTAACGCGTGTGGATAGAAGAAGGTAGAGCGACACGAAGAAGGCCAAGTGGTCCACCGATGCGTTCCACAGAGCCTCAAGATTGGCGCTTCAGACGGCCAGCCCTACGAGACTATTTTGCTACTATGCGTCAGATCGCTGACCAATGGTTTGGAAAAGAAGGTAGACCTGTTACAATGCGTACACTCTATCGCCGCATTCGAACCTTTGGACTTTTTCATACCGTCCACGGTCAGTGCTTCCTCTGACTGCGGACCACTGTCGTCAACAATTGAACTGGAGCAGAGAACGGCAACATTGGGAGGCAGAATGACATAATGTCATCTTCAGCGACGAATCGCCTACCTGTCTGATAATAAAACTGAACCAATTTTCAAATATTTTATTACAACAAAAACATTTCCTGTAAGTACATTTATGTGCTTGATTATCTTTAAGTACGTATGCTGTGATTATTTTATACACGATAATAATAATTGATGTACAGAACACTGTAAAAATATTTTATTCATTAAAGCATTAACAAATTATTGCTCATACAACGTGACAACGGATTTGTGCAGAACTATATACAGATATAAGCTCAGACGTTATAATACAATATAATACAACTGATAACAGAATTGCTTTGGAAACGTCATTGAAGGGAAAGGCAGTATAAATATAAATGTCTTGTTTTATCAAGGTAGAAATTAAGTGTAGATGGCACGTTGACCAAAATATATAAGCATAGTTTTGTTTAAAACTGTACTGGGGCAACGTATAAATAATCTACATTGGCTTACAAAATTATATAACCATCAGGGGTATCTTTAAGATAAAATAAATATTGTAGGATATCTAACAGATTACTATTTTACATAGGTACATATGGATATAACCGGGAAATACATTCGAAATGTGCGTACTTTGAGCAACGCTTAAGTATAGAACAAAGATACCTACATCCCTGTTAATTGCTACGTGTGGATGACTTTCTAAGCATGTTTTTCTTTTCTGTTCTTTGAACACTCCTTTTGGCAGTGTAAATGAAGGTTAACAGTGATGAAGTCCAAACGATTGATTATCTAAGTCGCAAAATTGATGCGTTAATTAACACTGTGTTTTTTTATTACTGAGTAAATCCGACATGATTTGAATGCATTTCCCTCAAATTCGTATAATTCTCATGTGAGCAACCAAGCTTTCATAAAGTTTGGGTCATTGAAATTGGGCAAAACACCATATTTTTGAAGGTATTTCAGTCAATAATTGATTTTAAAAAGACAATATTAACAAAATATTATTGAAAAAAGAATAGGAAGCTAACATGCGGGGATTGCCTTTTAATTCCAGAGACCCAAACTTTGTCAGTCCGTCACATCTAAATTATTATTTTATGGGCTATACAATAATAATCGTGTGCCAAATAAATGGTGATTAGTTTCAGGAAGACATTTTGTTATGTTTTTGGAGCATCTCAAGAAATTAAAAAAATTACAATAAATCGACTAGATGCTCATAAAATTTCGAGGATATGACACTTCGGCGTATTACCTTCCCAAGTCCATAAAAATAGCTTACAGGCACAGGTTTCAGGAGAATGTTGTGCAATATGTTCCGCAAAAAACACGTAGAAACCTTATGGGAAATGGCTTTCGGAAGACTTTTCTAATTTAGACCAGGTATCGTAGATGTCAACAACCAGAACACAAGCGTCCATGGGATGGGCCCAAACTTCTTACATGAGTAATTTCCAAGATACAGTGTCTCCAAACTGAGCAGCGTATCATGGGTTTCCGCATAGAATATTGTAATAATTGTTTTATATTTTTATTTAAATTTTAATCACCCCTACTAGGCGGTTTATAAGAATCACAATTGTACCCCAAGATGAAGCATTGCTCATAGACACAAGCTTCTTCCATAACTGTCCAGCATTATCCTGTAGCGTCTTTGTGAGGATGCCAGCCTTGCCGGCCTTTTCTGCAATGTGCTCAGGTTTGGCGCAAGGGCAGATCCAAAGAGAAATTTTTGGGAGGGTGGTGGAGCGAGGGGTGTCGGCGATTAAAAATTGTAGGAGGGGGGGGGGAAGGCAGCGGCTGCATCAGTGATTTTAAGAGCACCTGCCCTTGTGACAATGGAATAGCGTGGGGAGCACAAAACAATATTGATGAATTTTCTGCGTATTTTTCTTTTTCCAGTGGCAGAACTCCGCTGCGGCAGTCTCCCCCTGGATCCGCCACTGACACCGGCACGGGTACCTAATACCTATCACGTATTTTGAAAAGTGACATTATGCCGATCTTTTTTTGACATTATGTAGGTTTTTATATAAGATGTTAACTTAGCACTTAGTTGTACGTGTTGCCTAAACGTCATGAGGCTTGTTATCAATATTTGGCTCTGATGTAATGTAAAATATGCTTCTGAGATGGCATTACTGGAGGTCTAAGCTGTATGTTGTATGTGTTGATGATACCTACATTGAATTCTTGTCTCAAATACAGTTAATTGAGATTCAAAGCTAGAAATTAGTTGCGCATCCACTTTTTCTTATCCATTCTGGAAATTACATATACAAATTTGCTAAATTTCAAAAATGAGAGAGATAAGAAATAATTAAATTCACTGTACACTGTCGAATTACAAACCATATACATGCTAACAGTAATTACACACAACGCGGGCGCAGTGATGATTTCCCGTAATTCTCCTCAGTTTTTCGTAATTTATAACTTTGAACTTAACCTGTCTTCAGAAAGCACAACATAAAAATAACCCGTCGGGCACAGCCAATAGATATACTCGTACTTCATTGGCAGCATATTCAGTAATGATTTTCTCACACAGCAAATATCACTGATTTTCTACACATGCAGACCAATACACATAATCATCCAGATGCGATCTTACTATTCAACCAACTTTCTTCTCAAAAATAAAAACTACAGACAAGGACCATTTGCCCTCACAAAACATATGCAACCAATAATGCGTGTAGTTTAGTTGAGTGATTCCTCCTTAGATGGACGTTCACAGCGATCCTGGCGAGCAAACGTGGAATGACTGTTTGCGCCCTAAAAAGTACCTAGTTTGCAAGATGCCATCTTATAGGTTTTTTACATGATACGCATGCGGCATGGGGCCCCTCTGAGAACTCCGGGCTTCGCGGGAAAAGTTCCCTAAACCCCCTCTCGTCGGGCCTGGCGACTACATTCCCAAAGTAGGATTATACACAGGGTGTTCGAGTGATAACGTGCATAGTAAAATTGGTTTCTTGATAGTACCTGTAGCTTTATTATTATTTGGATATTGGAGTCTGCAGCTGCTACATATGATTTACTCATTCTTTGAATTGCTCGATTCATTAATTACATAGGTAAATTTATTAAAAACAATTCGTTGTTCCTTAAAAATGTTAATTTCTAAGTTAGGCAAGTGTTTTTATGTGACGAAATTAGGCGAATCTGTTTAAAAATGGTTTGTTACTTTATCTATTGAAGTAGTTGAGATACTAGTACACATATTTTTAGGCAAAATATGTAACATCTCAAAAAATTCATCAAAACGGTATTCAATTCTTTCCAAATATGTAATTAGAATATATGGTTATCTTTATAAACAACTATGATATCCAGCTCACTAGCAGCACACACTCTTATTAATCCAGGACATTTTTGATATCTACGTATTTCCAAAGGGACGATGAAGTACTCGTATATAATGATGACCAATTTAAATTTTTAAAAGTTTGTATCTTGGAGCAATAATCCATCCATGCAAGATTGGGTACATGTGATAGAATTGCAAGGTTGATAAAACGGCTAGTGCAAATGATGATAAGAAGGTAAGTAAATATCTACTATTCGAATTCCAACCCGCAATACGCTGGAATAGAGGATTTCCCAGCTTGGCTCACTGTCTCGCGCAAACTACAGCATATTAAATTTAGAAAAAACCATCCTAAAGCTATTACCCATAAAGCTTCGCTGCGGGGTATTTTATTGTAAGGCGAACCTCCTATCATCTGGATGAAACCAATCACCAGCCTCTGGCTTTGATTTAAGGGCTTGCTCTGCTGTGAGCAACATATTTGCATACATTATTATATATATCATTATATAATTTTCGACCGAAATCATTAAAACGTGAATCCAACTTGTATAAAATCAATTAATGAACGAGCATTTATAGTTCCAAATTAAAAAAAATAATAAAATGGGTAGTGTCTTGTATAAAGCTTTGTGTACTTTTGTGCATCACGTAGACGTGATTACAAATGTATTTTATCATTAACATGTGTCGAGGTTTCATTGAAAATAGCGTGCTTAGTTTCAAACTGTTCATAAATGACGCTGTAGGAAAATTTTATCACGCAACTCTTGTTATACCTACTTTTGATATGACCTTATTTCAAATCAAACGAATTTTAAACTTTTTCCAAGTAGGATTCTTCATAGACCGAGATATGTTGCTCGCCCTTTTCATCAATAACCTCAAATCTGTCCCATTCACAGTCCACTACCCTGTTCGGGCGTCTGCTGCCCCCCAAACCACTGTCACAAAGTCTGGTAGTCATGCAATATATCGGCCGCCGCTGGTTGATACACTTGGCATCCGTACGGCGACTGGTGGGGAGGTCCCGCCCCTGCAGCACCACCCATTGGCTGATAAGGGTGGAGCTGGCCGGTCACGTGATGCATCGCAGCCGCTGTTGCGCTGGAAGGGGGCGGAGCAAACGACTGGAGCTTGTGATGCGGCTCCGCTTCGCTGTCTGAGCCCGAACAGCTGTCTAGGTGGTGGGAACCGGGCTTGTCCGAGTTCGGTTGAGCGCTGGAATAAAAGGAGCAGTATTAATAAATTTTAAAGAGTAAGAATTCAGATAGGTGTATCTTGTGTCGATTTTTGTGTTCAAGAGGATCAAGGACGGATTTAGAAATCTTTCTAGGGGGTCGCAGCATGCTTAGGAACTTCATCTCAAGAGAGGAGGGATTAGCGATGATTAAACTTTGAAGAGCGGAAGATTGCATATTCAGCACTTGAGCTTAAGGGGGTCGGATAGGTCTAGGGACCCACACGTCGTATGATTCAGGTCTATCTAGTAAGGTAATTTCACACAGTGATAAAACAATATACTTATGCCATTTTCTTGAAACAAATGGCAGACTTGGGCGTCTAGGGGGTCGCCCCCTCTAAGTCCGCTCTTGAATACGTTAGCAATAATTTCAGAGTAAGTAGCAGAAGGGTGAAACAAAAGATCACCACTTTGTGGAAGGCGATGTTTAGCGTTTGAACCTTGTACTTAGTTAAAAATGTTCTGGCGGAAAATGGTCAGCTTTCTCTGAATAAACGATAGAAATAAAAACTTTTCAGCTTTACGAAAACGAAAGCCTCAACGTTTTCGTCCACTAAGGACAAGCAGCGCATGTTTCATTTTTTTAATATGACCGATTAAGCAATTTTCATCTAAACGTACGCAGAAATTCCTGGTTCTTCCTCAAAAGTGATTGAGAAATTGTACGCATCTTGACATACGATACGTATGTCTCCAAAAACTTATAGTTAAAAATACGGTGAACCCGTATTTTTACAATTTTAGATACCTACTCAAATCTCTAGTTTCACACTTCTGCAATTAATTCTTTCTGTTACGCCTACGCCAGTTTAAGAAAAAGAGTTGCACGTTCCCCATTGCTGACAATCTGCCTTTCAAGTCGACACTTTCACCATTTCTAAACATTTTCAATCGGGCTACGGCTATTCATTAAAGTACGTTAATGGTGCAGCAGTGTTATAAAATTATATGTCTTATTAGAACACGTTCGAATTCAATCGGTTTTTAGCTATATATAACAAGTAGAGCACCAAAGCCAGGATAAAAAGCGCGGGAATAGTTTGAATTTCACGGTGAAATTTGAATTAGGTAGACTTGTGCTGTGATTGGTGGAGAGAGATGTATGACGTGAGGTATGAAGTGATTTAATAAGTAACTACGAATACTAGAGATAGGAGGTTAAGCTACCTAAGGGATACACGTATTCGTATGAAGCCAAACTTGTCGCCAAGGATGGTGTAGCTCTCGGAAATCTAGTGGGTCCAGAACATTGTGTAGAGCGTCTGCACATTGAAAAATGTCGAAAAATTCACTATAACCTGCTGCAATCTTTATGTACTTTTCACTCACGTGTTGCCATAGTTTGTAGTTGTTTACAGTCATGATGACAGCGCAGAACCTGAAATGATTTTCTGCACAGTCTATGAGTTTCATCTCCAATCCCTAGTCTTCATGGACGTAACTTTTCATGATATAGAAATTTGATGTTTTGTCAGTGGCGTATGACGCCTTATCATACGTCACGTAATACTTATGTCTTCACCAATCATGAAACTACAAAAGTCACGTTACCACGCCCATCTGTCAAATTTAATTTTCACCGCGAAATTCAAATTATTCTACGCATACATTATTGGTCAATAAAATTGTCGATGAATTCCTTTCCTTATACAATCTACTAGACTTAATCACACCAGTTAATAGAATTTCCTCTGGTTACCGAAGAGGAAAAAATACTAAGATATGCACTGCTTGTAACTACAGGCCATAGGCGTCTCATTTGCCTAACACTATAATCGGAAAATGAGTTTTAATGCATCCGTAAGCCCTGTCGGATTAAAAATAAAAGGCACCTAGACTCAAAAAGTCACTCGTTCGGATACTGCTGACTTGTGGCTGATTAAACTATCAAGGCGAGGGCATGTTTTGCGATGTCATGCAAATGCTTATTTAATTTTTGCAATCGCTGGAAAATAACTGGATTACATATATTATTCAGGTATAGGAAGCTTCTTTATACAAAGCGACTTAAGGTCGCAGAGATAGTGGACAGACTCTACTCAGCTTGGATTACTACTCCCAAGTTTGACGAGCTACTGCCACGACTACGTTTGTCAGTAGTCGATACTGCTTGCTTTGCAGAGAGCAATCAGAGTAACCGATAATGTCTTCAACATACAATCCAAGTTCCTTCTTCATCGACGAGAGCTTTGTGACTGACATGCTTACATGTAGTATTTCTTCCTCTGATGCCACCACTTTCTAAGTAATTTCATACCGGTCATGTTTCATAGATACAAAACTGACAGGTACGCCCGCTCTTTTGTGGTGCTGCTTTAGATTTTTTATACCGAAGCAGCCGCGTAGGCAGAAGCTTAAATACCAGGGCACTCCAGCTACACGAGGAGCTTATATACTTTATTAATCTCATTTTTGAACTTCCCAAGACTGATAAAACTGGGAAAAATCAACTCAGGCAGATTTTTTCCATCATTTCGATACCCTAGGGACAAAGGAGCGGTCTTACTGGCCAGTTCCGGATGTACTAAGTTCGACATGGTTACAAGTTAGGCGGATCTGTCCGACGGGCACATCGTGCGGTGGCATCATGGAGGAGAGCTTTCAGGAACAAAGCCCGTTGGCATAGCGGTAGAAGAGAACTAGATCACCAATGGCCCGTCGGTGCGAAACGGTCCTGAGACTCTCCGTTAAAGACGAGACACCAGCAAAGTTGTGGATCGGGTTTGTCGTACAGGCAAGGAAGGCGCGGTTATGCAAGGATGGAAAATTGTAGTAATCTTACCCGTTCTTATAAATCGGGTAGATACTCTGGTATTTAGGAGTTGTCTTTACGGCTTTATATATACGCGTAATGCAAAAATCAAATAAATAATTAGGAATGTCTGCTATGCAGTAATGACGTTCGTCTCACAAATCCTTAATACGCCGTTCTGGCAAACGTTTTCCCATTGATAGGAATGTCTACCGTTTTACCTCGCTTCTCTTCATTCTCCGTTTGTAACATAATATTTCCAACGTCAACACGAATCAGGAGGAAAGTCAAAACAGACGGCCATCAACGGTCTTTGTGGTTTTCCGCGGCCATTTTGCACTCATGGAAAACAGCACTTGTTTACAGGCGCGTACTCGGCATTTTATATTCGCCTCGAATGAATCGAATTTCTATTTTTGTATCCCAGTGGTACATGAGGAAGGCAAAAATGCCAAATATAAGAAATTAAGGAACGCATATGCCTGGTAATTTACCAATCGAGACCGTCTATAATGGGAACATCAACCCTCTCAAGTGCCCTCTCAACCATTTGTTTATGCAACTTTGATAACCGAAAGGAGAGGATACACGACCAAGAAATATGTCGTATGAAGCAATTGATTTGTCTCACGGGCTGTATGGCAGATGGCACTATCAGTGGCTGATCTAAGAACTCTGGGGGACCCCCAATCATACCAATGAAGAGTCTGGTCATGGGAGAGGGAGAGCTATGATTGTCAAATAACACATCGAAACTCCAGGGATCCTGATGTGGGTCGTGTGCGTCATCTTAGATTTGCCTTCAGGCGCTCTACTTCGCCGAAATCGTACGTTATCCACGTCAGTATTGTCCAATTCAGGCAAAAAGCAGCCCTTGGACAGGCCTAGGAGGTCAATTTCAATCAACGAAACGAGAAAGTACACGACCAGGGAATTTGACTCGAAATCTACAGCATCTAGCACCATTTTCTTGAAACCACATATGTCATCCACATCAATATTGTCCAGCTTGAAGGAGGAAATCGAGCGTTGCATCGAAGAAATTCAATCACATTTATGCAAAATGATCATGGAAAACATTGATAAAAGAATGCATGTGCGCCAGCAAAGCGGAAGAGTCCATTTTGTTTGATGTGCTATTCCACACATAACTCTAAACAATGTACTTATATGATGCAATAAAAAGAAGAGAAACTGTGTCCTGCATTCAATTGAAATTTTGCGTGAATTTTGAGATATCCTTTATTCGTTTACTTATAAACGCAACAAATTATTGATATTGATGACCCGTCAGTTATATAGTTGTATCTCGTTCAACATTTGAATAAGAAAATCGCTATCCACGGTGTTTACGCTTCTATCTCTTTCTAACATACCATATGTATCTGTGTCTATACACACTTCTGTCTCATACACATTGAACTCATGCCGTCAGACAAATTTGGTGCTCAGTATATACGCTGTTATTCAATTTTGGACCGATACGGTCCTGCTGAAATTTCAGAGGTGTCGAATGTCGTTTTGGGTGAGTCACCGGCTAATTTTAGCGCCCGCGGCTCGCCGCCTGAAACTGAATAGCTCTCTGCATGTTTTCAAACACGTTGCGATGCTTTTTCTATCGATTTTAACCTACTTTTTAAACAAACAAATGAAACCCGAGCCTAAGCATTCTGATCAAAAATTCAGCTGTGTACGTTTAAATGATTTATGGAACTCATCTTCAACAATGCGTCGTCATAATTTCATAATGGTATAAACAATAAACAAATGGAAATGTCCTACACGTGCATTATTAATTAGCTTTCACAAGATATTTTCTAAATGGAAAAAGCTTCAAAGTTTAAACAGAAAATATTGTAGATTCAATCAGGCTGGAAATTCTGAACTTACGTATGGTTACCACGGGTGCAATCAAAAAGTTTTTTTGAGGGCATTTGTCATCAATTTTGAGACAGTTATACTGTGATCACAGTGCAAAAAGCAACACGGGCGTAAACAGGAATGTTTCTCACGGGGATTTGAGATAATCGGCAAGAGGCACATTTTCGTGGGAATGAACCCAAAACGATTTGAAGACAGGATAACTAAAACATCAAGCTGATCATATCTATGAGATTTCTGGACTCTGGTTCACCGACATTCTTCGTTTTATGTTAGTACTTGATTGTTCACAATTTAGATTTTTTTTGTGTGCAATTCATCCATTTTAGGATATTCAACTTATTA